AGGGGGTTTGCCTTTAACTGATTTGTAAACATTCATAAAAAAAATTTTAAAAGTAATATTTGTTTTGAAAAATATTACATTAAAAATATATAAGGGTGCAAGGTGGAGGTGGAGGTGCTGCGGGGCCTGCTGAAGAGCCCCATGCCGTTGCTCCTAGGCGCGCTGGGTCAGTTCCTGGTGATGCCTTTATATGCCTACTGTGTGTCCCAGTTGGCCTCACTGCCCAAGGCACTCGCTCTGGGGTTGGTCATCACCTGTTCTGCCCCAGGTGGAGGGGGAGGATACCTGTACAGCCTGCTGCTCGGAGGCGACGTCACCCTAGCCATCTCCATGACGCTGGTCTCCACAGTGGTGGCGGCGGCAGCCATGCCTTTGTCGTCAGCCCTGTACGGTTGGCTTCTGGGTGTCCATGCTGCCCTGCACGTGCCCTTTGTGAAGATCCTGGGCACCTTGCTGTTCATCGCTATCCCCATCTCACTGGGCATGCTGGTGAAGCTGCGTCTGCCTGCCCTCACTCGCGTCCTGCTGGCGCTCATCCAACCATTCAGCTTCGTGCTCATTGTGGGCGGCATCTTCATGGCCTACCAAATGGGAGCGTCCATCCTGGCTAACGTGCAGCCCCAAATCGTGGTCGTTGGGATTACGGTGCCTTTGCTGGGCCTGGTGGTCGGGATTAAATAATATAGTATATTTGTATGATTGATTCCATCATAAGTTGTTAATATTAATACCTGGATTTCAAGATGTTTTCTTAATTTGATTTGACTGGGTGGACTTTAAGGAGGATCCCGTTACCTGAATACAGATACCAGCAGGTCAGCTGTTTTGGTCTGAATGCCTCCTTTGCTTGTGTTTAGTGGGTAATCCCTGGCTGCCCCTCCAGTGGATACAAATCACGATGTTCTCTTTCCCATGTGACCGCCCCTGTTTGTCTGAGCAGGGAGAGCTGAAGCTGAAGACCGCTCTGATTGGATTAATGAAGGACTGCGCTAAGGTAAACACACTCACCCAAACACTAACAGGAAGTGCTGGGATTTTTCTTTACAAAATA